ATACAGAAATCCTCACTAATATATCGGGGATTTCCAAGGTTATTTTACCTCTTCTGGTTCCAATTTGACAACACTGAGCTTAGGCACATCACAATATATTTTTCAGAAAGCAAAAAATGGCATCATTCCTAATAATGAATGATCTAAGTGGTTTTAATTCTCCTGGGTAGATGAAGAATTCTGAAACTCAGCTGTCCAGAACAATGGATATCACATTGATACTGGCTCAGGGTCCATCAGAAACCCATTGGAGAGCTCAATACTGTATATGAAGCTATTTTCTCCTTGTAACGAGATGCCCAACTATGTACCCCGTGGGAGCTTTGTTAACAGAAACCAACAATTCTTAGGCATTCAGTAAAAACCCAAAGGCTCACTATGCCACCAAATAAGTATCTATCTAGCAATAGGAGCTTTGTACAGTTGAGCCATCAACAGGAAATCTAGTTATTACCTGCTGTTGGTCAGTTTCCATCCCACAACTGTCTCTAATGTCCACCTCGAACCTGTAGGTTCTGAAATCCTCATCAGCTGGCATGATTTCCCTAGAGTCAGCTCAGACTTCTCTATTATCAGGTTTCCACAGGAGCAGCACTGATCTGGTGTATTCTCCAAATCCATGCAGGTACTCAGCAGAACTGGGGAATTGCTGGGTAGAGAAACTAGGAGTGTCTGAAGCTTCTGCCCTTATGTACATTGCAGGGAAGCAAGTAACATACAAGGATGAAACAGGGCTGGAGAAAGCTATTAAATGGTAGACTCAGGACACAAGGAGTTTGGGTCTCATGAAAAGTAGGAATCTACTGTTTCCTTCTCCTGCATGTACTGAATGCACAAATTAGTCAACTCCTTGGGGTAGGCATTTGGCGCACTTGCGAACTCACCAACTGGGGGACTGGCATTGTGGCACTATGGATTAAGCTGCCATCTATGATGCCAGCATCCCAAATGGGCACCAGTTCAAGTCCCTGCTGCTGCACTTCTGATACAGCTCCCTGCTGATGTGCCTGGAAAGGTGGAAGATGGCCCAAGTGCTTGGGCCCCTGCCACCCCTGTGGGAGACCTGGATGGAGCTACAAGCTTCTGGTTTTGGCCTGCTGTCCCAGCCTCAGCTATCACAGTCATTTGGGGAGTGACTCAGCAGATGGAAGTCTCTCCTTCTCTATTCTGCCTCTCAAATAAATAAATATATAATCTTTTCAAAGTCACCACTTGAGACACCTGCATCCCTATCAGAATCCCTGGGTTCAAGTCCCAGCTCCACTTCTGATCCAGTTTCCTACAAATGTGCATTCTGGAAGGCAGCAGTTGATGGCTCAAGGACTTGGGTCCCTGACACATACATGGGAGGACAGGATTTATTTCCAGACTCCTGGTTTTGGCCTGCCCCAGCCCTGGCTATTGGGGATATTGGGATATTTGGAAAATCTTTCTCCTAAATGTGGAAATCATTTTTTTTTTTTAAAAAAACTAACTCCTCTCATAGAGAAAGGCAGGCCCATTATATATGAGTTATCTGCAATTTCATGTGAGAGCTTATCATTTTAATTTTTGCAATTAGTCTAAATTTAAATGAGTTACTATTTGGACAAATGACCAAAAAAACCACTAGGGGGGCTGCCCATTTGTTACCTTTGGCTGAGGAACTTTCCAAATCAGGGTGTGCCCACTCTATTGGGCTACAAATGTTAGGAAGCAACTTTTTTTTTATACGCATGAAAGATTTATTTATCCATGTCAAAGGCAGAGTTACAGAAAGGGAGAGGCAGAGGCAGAGAGAGAGACTTCCATCCACTGGCTCACTCCTCAAATGGTCGCAATGGCCAGGACTGGGTCTGGCTGAAGCCAGGAGCCAGGAGCTTCATCTGGGTCTCCCACGTGGTTGCAGGGGCCCAAGGACTTGGGACATCTTCTGCTTTCCCAGGCACATTGGCCAGGAGCTGGGTCAGAGTGGAGCAATCAAGATTCAATTCAGTGCCCATGTGGGATGCTGGCGCTGCTGACTGCAGCTTTAACCCACTGAGCCCCCATCCTGCCCCAGGAATAGACTTTTTGTGCCTTTCTTATATGGAACCTGAATGACTGGGGCTGAGGGTGGAGTAACATAATTTGGGAAGCTGATTTACTACTACTCGAGTGAATTGTGCCTGCCCCAGTCCTGCTGTTCTTGCAACTCTTCTCAGGTCTGTGTATCTGCCAGGCAGTGGGTCACAAATCTCTTGCTAGGGAGGCAAGGGCAGGGGCAGAACCTACAAATTACACCTTCGCTTACCATCAACTAGGAAATGTCCATCTTTTTTACCACTGAAAATTACCATTAGCCCCTGCCACAAAGACTATCTCACCAATGTAAAGATGAACTATGACGTCACAGCACCCTGGAATGTCCACTCTCTCTATATACAGTCGTGAATTAGCTGTGAAGATGGTCAGGCTGTTGCCATTCCTTTGGGGTCTGGTGAGCAGCATTTCTCTTGTCCTTGCCTGACCTATTTGGCCCCCAAAGGCTCTCAGGCTCAGGTGGGTTCAGGGGCAACAGGCTATCTGCAGAGGAAACACTTCCTGACATCAAGCGTAGCTGACTTACAAGGGGCTTGGGCATCTCTTTATTGTGAGAGCTGTAAGCCCTGAGCTTCTCCATCTGATTGGTTGTTGTCCTGTATTTCCCCACACACATACCCTTTCCAACTCCCAATCCCACTCACAATGTACGTACAGGTGAGAGCAAAAACTGTACCAAGACAGGGAAATCTAACTGTCTCATTTACTGCACTGTCTCTCCCTTGCCTCCAACAGTACCTGGCACACCACAGGTGCTCATGAAATATTGGCTGAATACTGTGGACTGTTTGAGAGCCTTATTTACATGAGAGGGCTCAGGAGTGGTCTTGTATGAAGGCAGGGGTGGGACTGGATATCTCATTGACATTCCTTCAGCACTAAGATTCCGTGTCTCTATATGCTGAGACTCCCACAAGCTCTGTCAGCCAGAGCCAGCAGCTGCTCTGCAGAGGGGAGAAAATGAAGTTGCAGGCAGATGCCTGGGGGAAGGGTGGGAAGAAGTGTGAGCTGCAAAAATCTTTAGGAGGAAGGCAGCCACTGCTAATGGGGCATGACAGAGCCAGTGGTGAGCTGGGAGGATCATGGCCACAGCGATGCATTTTCCCTTGAGGACAAAAGAGGCACTGACGCAGAGCCTGGGAAAGAGCAGCCATGGGTTCAGCCACAGAGGTGGTCCATGCAGAGCAGCATGGCTTCCCTGGGAAGAGATGGCTCAAGCAGGAGCCAGAACTGAAATCCAAAAACAAAGGGCTTCCTGGCAGCACAACTATTGTGTGCCTCCAGGTTTCTCTGATTTGGCAGGTTTTCTAAGGCTGACTGAGGACACAGGCAGAGGTACAGACCATGCCTCCTTATTTTTAATAAAAGATCACTTGAAGAGGTCCAGAGTCTCCCTTGATCATGGGTTTTTCTTGACCCATTTGCCCCTAATCCTACAACTTCCTTGCAGCTGAGGAATGGTGCCTTGTCATTCATTCTAACTGTGGGCATGACTGGCTCAGAGCCCCCACCTTTTCAGTGGAAGATCTCAGAATCCCTTGTTTCATTGGCTCAGCCCTCACCGAGGCCACAGATAGCATGAGCAAATTATCTTCAGAAGCAATTTTAATGCGCCCCCACCCCCAAGAAAAGAAGCTTAGAATTTTCTAGAATAAGGTATCCTATAGAATTGAGTTGAAATTTCTTTTTCTGTTTAAGAAAATACTGGTGCCGTTGGGATCAAGACATGAGGAATTATGTTTTTTCTGCAAGAATTGAGCTTTCCTATTTAAATCTACTTTTTTTTTTTCCTCTAAAGGAGGTGAAGGTGTTGTAATTTTTGTCAATTGGTCCCAACAGTTTGTGATTCCTCTGTAAATTGCCTGACAAATGGGAACCAGTAGAGATGTCTTTCTTTACTACGTGTAGATTGGGGTTATCAATAACAAAGGGTGAAGTGTTTCTGAGAAAAAGGCCAGAGAAGGGCAGGGGATGTAGGAGCAGGAGCACGTGTGGGCAGGAACTGCAGCCTGGCGCGAGGGTGGAACCTGGCACAGGAAGTGATGTCCGATTCTCCTCTGAGGCAGACCCATTTTCAATTCGCTTTGTGGATCCTAGTTGGTGGGCCCGACAAAAACAACAACAATGATACAGTGTGTGGGCTTTTGCCTTATCTGAACCCCTGGTAGGGGAAAACAAGCACTGTGACAATACTCAGAAGCCACAGGCTGCCTGGATTGATACTGCACCAGACTGGCTTCCTGCACCTGCCGGGTTTTTCAGGGAGGAAAGAACAAGCAGAATCTGAATAATAAACCAGTGCTACTGGGCACCAATACACCATAGGAAACGTCCCCCCAGGCTCTTAGGCTCGCCCCCTGGGTAGGGACTAGACTGCTGGGCAGGACCCAAGACACCTGCAGAGGCGCCTTGCAGGAAGCACGCGCCCTTTCAGTAAAGATCCTTTTTTGGATTTGTGCAACGCTGGCAGAAATGGATCAGATCTCAGATCTGACAACCGCTGTTTCTTCCCTTCATTTCGGGGTCGGTGGCTGGGGACGAGTTCACTGCTTAAGTCATTTATGATCTTGCTTCGGGGGAGTAGCTGCATCCGCACCTCCTCTCTCTGCGCAGCCCTGCTGGCTCCCGGAGGGTGAGAAGAGCCAGGGGTCGGTCGTAGGGTCCCCTTGGCCTTGCCTGCCCTTCGCCCGTTCCCAGTCAGCGGGCGCACCGCACGCAGGCGAGGGCGGCGCGGGCGCCGAGCTGCAGCCCTTTCCCGTTCCAGATGCACTGGGGACATCATCTTAATTAACCGCAGCAGCAATGACCCTGAGGACTTAATTTTCAAAATAGAACACACCTCTGCTTTTTTTTTTTTTTTTTTTTGCATTTTTTTCTTACCCTCCCCCCTCCTTCCCAAATGGAATCGAAATTCTTAAAAAGCGAACGAGGAGTCTCACCCGCGCAAGCCCGGAGACCGACGCCGGCGTAGGATGCGGACGGTCTGGAAGCGGCCGCGGGGGACCGGTCCTGCTCTGGGAGGCTGCCCAGCTGCCGCCGCGGGTGGGCGGGGCCCCAGGACGGGGCGGGGCCTGCCCTGGGAGGGCGCGGATCGCCGCCGCGGGTGGGCGGGGCCAAGGGCGGGGCCTAGCACGCGTGCGCGCCTTGCGCTCCGCCCACCTCTGGTACAACTGTAGCTTGCAGTCTGGGCTCAGGGTGAGGGACGTTCGGGGCAATGGGGTCGTGGACTAAGGGCAAGAGCTGCCTGGCGGCCGGCTTGCTGCAGAACCAAGCGGCCATCGTCACCGGCGGGGCCACGGGCATCGGAAAGGCCATCGCCCAGGAGCTCCTGCACCTCGGTACGTGGGCAGGCCCCAGCGTCCAGGGCCCTGCAGCCAGGCTCGGTGGACACAGGGTTGGGGACCCCTGTGAGGGCAGGAGCCTGAGCGGGCTTCGGGATGTGTAGGTGTAGCCTGGTGAGGGCCGCGAGGGGCGGGGAGGGCAGCAGGGTCCCCTAGAGACCGTGGAAAAGGGCGGGGCGGGGAGCCCCGAGTTCCGGGCTGCAGGGCGCTCTGAGCTGGACACGGCTTGCCTGAGGCCTGAGCAAACACCTTAAGGAAAGAACTGTGGAAAGAACTGTGCGCACGTGCGTTAATTAACACAGTCTACATGTCACCGGCCGATCTGAGTGCCTAGGAGGCCTGGGGAGACTTCACTGAACTGCCGAGGGTTCTAAACCTGTTGAGAGTCCTCCATCGAATTCTCTTCTAGACGAGGAGAGCAACCCAAAGGGGGAAGTAGGTGCATGACCTCTGCGCCGATGGAAGCCTTCCATGAGTTTTACGACTATAAAGTTGTGTGAAAGACAAGACTCACAATATATTAGATCTAATTTGATCTAATTAGCTAAAGAGCTCTTACAAACAGAAGGGCCAGCACACTGATAGAAAAATAGTCTTATGGTATGGACTAAGCATTCCAACAGAAGAATATGAGAAAATAATCAACCTTATTGAATAGTAAATGCAAAGTAAAACACTGAGGTACCATTGTTTTCCTAACAAAATTTTAAAACATTCGGAAAGTGAGTGTTGAGGAGGGAGAGAGAAAGGCAGGCCAGGATGTAAATTATGGAGAAAAGACCCAAAAGCCTTTATGATGGTCACACTCTCTGGCCTTGTAACCTTCTCAGGAATTTACTGTAGGGAAATGATCAGAGCCAGGTCAAGATTGGTGCCCAAGAATGTAATGTCATCTGGGTAGTGAGACACTGGAAATAGCCTCAGCATTATGTGCACAACAGTGAATTGATGGCTGAAATATGCTGCCCTCTGACTACATTGTTATTGAAGACTCCATTTGGAGAAAGGCATACTATTTATCTATAAGAAGCAGGATTTTAAACAAAACAGCTTTCCATTTTGATTCTTACTGGAAAACGCATATGCAGAAACAGACTGGAAGGACTTTTATAACATTGTTAACATTTTTTTCTGAAAATAAGTTTCATTTGGGGTGGTTTAACTTGCCTTCATATTTCAAGTATCTTTGTAAAGTGAACATGTAGGGTTCCTTTGATTACCATTTATGTTTCCAAGATCTGGCATAGTATGACCTAAAAAAACCAAAAACGTATTGTACACATGTCCCTTGACCTTAAGTGAGGTTATGTCCCCATAAACTCATAGTGATTGGAAAATACATTTAATGATCCTGACTTACTGCAAATCATAGCATAGTCTAACTTACCTTAGGTGTTCTCAGAACATTTACGTTACCCTACAGTTGGGCAAAATCATTTAACACAGAGTGTATTTTAAGATAAAATGTTGAATATCTCATGTGATTTATTGAATTCTATAGGAAAAGTGAAAAATAGAATGGTTGCATAGGTATGCTTTCACACCTTTCAAAAGTTAAAAAAAATTGTTAAGTTGCACCATTATAAGTTGGGAACTGATTGTATTTGAAATATACATACTGTTTTTACACTTGATCTTAGCCAAAATGCTGAGAAACAATGAAAATATACATACCTTTTTAATAAGTATATACATGGGAAAACATGGGAAGAAAAACATGGGAAATTAACATTTCCCTAATCTGGCCCTGGCAGAGCCTCATCTCTATCATTGCACAGTTCATTCTTTACACCAAACTCTATTACCTTTCAGTAAAATCAATAAGAAAATCAGAATTGGTGATCATTTTATGCAAAGGCCTGATACAAGATTTCTCAGCAGATTTATAGAATTCTAGTTGGACCCTTCATGGATTTGTATGTATTTGAACTTTCTTCCTGCTTGGTAAATTTGCAGAGGCCAAAACACTACTTGTCAGGTTTGCGGTAAAATGGCAAACTTTATCTTACTAGCAAAGGCTAAAGTATTAAAACAGTGTCTCCCTAGTAAAATACTTCATATATTTAAAAAAAGACCCACATGCATAATTCTTTATCATACTGGAAATGATTTTCTTTGGTGAAAAGATATAAAATAATTTTACTATGACTTTTTCATCTTATTTTTCAATGCCAGCATTATTTTTAAAAATTGTTACATGAATCCAAATTAAGCAAATAAAATGTTAGACAATTCCTTATCCAGCATGAAGGCCACCTTTTTAAAAATGTGAATTATAATTTGTATTTGGAGGCATGGGTTTTGAAATGGTGATTGTTGCTTTGACTTTTCCTTGTACTTAGAGGACAAGAAGAGCCACTGCATAAAAGAGCAGGATGTAGCGGGAAGAATTAGGTCTCCTTTGTCTGTTGGACAGATGCTTTAGGCAGAGAGAGTCCTGATTCTGCCAGGGAATACCCAGGACCATTCAATCTGATTTCAAGTCATATCCTTGTCTTCACGCTCATCGCTTATCATTCTCTATCTCTCCAGCAGAACATAAATTAGATATGGTAGATTGCAAGGAAGTAGGAAATGCAATTAGAAATTGTGAAACAAGACAATATTTAATTTATTTTTAGAGACAGAGATCTTCCAACTGCTGGTTCATTTCCCAAATGCTGGGGTTTTAGTCAGCATTGTAGCATTCTTCCCTGTAATACCTTTGCACCCTGGTTCAAGTTTGCATGCCATGGAAAATTCTAGCAGTTACGGTGGATGACTCTGTCAAATTTGTTTCCAGTCCAGCTCTTCCTATATTAGGTAACAGACCTGAAGTGTGGTAATTCAATAAGATTCTAATCAGATAATCCTTGTGAATGATCCTATTGATGTTTTTATGGTTTATGGTATCTCTTACTGAAGGCTCTTGACAAAGTTAACATGCATTAGTTTACTTTTGTATACCTGAGAGGGTTTTTTTTTTTTACAAAGTTTTTATTTATGTATTTTTTAAAGCTATTTTATTTGAAAGGTAGAGAAAGTCAGAGACAGACAGATCTTCCATTTGCTGGTTCACTCCGCAAATGCCATTAACAAACCAGACTGGGCCAGGCTAAAGTCAGGTGTGTGAACTCCATCTTTGTGTCCTGCAAGGGTGATTGGGCCGAAGTGCTTGAGCCATCATATTCTGCTCCCAGGGTGCACATTAGCAGGAAGCTGTATCAGAATCAGAGGAGCCAGGACTCGAACCAGGTCTTCAATTATGGGGTATGGGAAACCCAAGCATTCTTAATGGCTGCACCAAATGCCTGCCCCTGAGGTTTTTGTTGTTGTTATTATTATTATTTAATTTTTAATTGGTTTTGGGAACAGTTGTATAGGCCTAATTTTTTAAACTCTGCTTTGTTCACTCCAAGCCCTACTCTGGGAACTGGGATTGCCAAGTGCCCATGTAGATGACAGAAAAACCAGAACAAGAAAGGGTTAGAGCCAGGCAGAGGTGCTGGTTGACCCAAGTGCCCTCCTTAGTTTGTTCCATCTTAATGATCTGCTTGGCTATTGCTTCTAACTCATGGTTGCCTCAGGTCTGAAGGTCAATTCTTTTTGCTCCTGGAAAGAAAAGGAAAAGGGAGTGAGGTTCTCCCTAATAACAGTATACCTTGGGCCATGTTGAATACTGCATACAGTTTGATCACCTGATTGTTCTTTTTTTTTGACAGGCAGATTTAGAGAGAGAGAGAGAGAGAGACAGAGAAAGGTCTCCCTTCCATTGGTTCACACCCTAAATGGCTGTTAAGGCCAGTGCGCTGCGCTGATCTGAAGCCAGGAGCCAGGTGCTTCCTCCTGGTCTCCCATGAAGGTGCAGGGGCCCAAGCACCTGGGCCATCCTCTACTGCCTTTCCGGGTCATAGCAGAGAGCTGGACTGGAAGAGGAACAACTGGGACTCGAATCCGGTGCCCTTATGGGATGCTGGTGCCACAGGTGGATGATTAACCAAGTGAGCCACGGTGCTGGCCCCCTGATTGTTCTTTTAAAGTTAAACTTGTCTATAAAAAATTCATGGCAAATCTTTCAAATCTCTGCTTTATAAAACTCTCAGGCTGCTCGTTAGATTTTCCAAATGCTGTCTGCATTTGTAACTTGCTAAATTATAGTTGAAACTTGAAAGATACTGTTTAAAAGTATCTTATTGTGCAGTAGGTAGCTCAACCTATACAACTAATACAATTCAGGCCAGGTGAGAGCCTTTGAACTTTACCTTTAAACCTCACTTATGGGGCCAGCACTGTGGCATAGTGGTTCCTCCTGTAGTGTTTGCATCCCATATGGGTGCCAGTTCGATTCCTTGCAACCCCACTTCCAATCCAGCTCCCTGCTAATGCTCCTGAGAAAGCAGCAGAGGGTGGCAGAAGTGCTTGAGGCCTGGCACACATGTGGGAGAGCTGGAGGAAGCTCCTAGCTCCTGGCTTCAGATCAGCCCAACTTCAGCTGTGGCAGCCATTTGGGGAGGGAACCAATGGGTGGAAGATTGTGGCCATTTGGGGAGTGAACCAGTGGACAGAAGATTCGCTCTCTCTAACTCTACCTTTCAAATAAATAAATTGTAAAAAAAAAAAAAAAAACTGAAAAAACCCTCACTCATTCATCATGCGTGTATTGAATGTGGCTGTGTGCTTGCCTAACAGACACAGCAATGACAAGGTGCCTACTCTCCGAGGGATGACAGAGGGAGGGTGCTAA